AAAAAACTTGTTTCTACTTAGAGGCCTGGAGATGTCAACAGGAACAGGGAAACTGTGAACTCCCTTGGCTAGGTGGCAAGACTTTTAATAAGAAGAGCATCAAACATCTCAACTGCTACAAACATGTCAGGAAGAAAAAGAAGAAAAACCTCTGTATTTAGCATAAATTCAACACAGATTTTTATTGAGGACATTTTCCATGCAGGTGAGACACCTTTCCAAGTATACAAATATTAAGAAAACATGGACTTTTCTCTCAAGAATCCTAAGAATTAGAAGGGATAAGGGTCCTGACTGGGGAAAACAAGCACCAGGGGTCAGGAATAGAATTGTCAAAGTGTCCGAAAAGGTGGTGGAAATTCTCACCAGACAGACTGCTCCCACTTCTGAATGAAGGAGGGCTCACTGGAGGAAGTGGCATCTGATGCCTGTGACCCATGGAGGTGCTGGGACATCATTTTGCACCAAGTTAAATTTTGACACTTAAGTTCCAGAACCAAGTCAGAACAACAAATCACCCTAAATTACACGGAGCTTATATTGACAACTGATCACTAAGCAAAAACGAAAGACAAAATTACACACACAGAGTTGCAAGGACGTCACCATTGAGCGGGGTTTAGGTAAGCACTGGAGCCTGGGCTGCTGGGATCTCACTGCACAGGGAAGCCGGTGCACTGAGGTCTCCAGTGTGTTTTCCTGGGAGGAACAGAGGAGGAGTCACTCTGCAGCAAGTAGAGGTGAGGACTGCAGGAGGGAAGAGCAGTAGGAGTAGGAGGGCTGAGGACAGACTGAAAGGTAGGAAGACACACGGGAAAGAGGAGGAAGGTGGCTCCAGAGACTCACCAGCGCTTCCAGAGCCACAACGCCAGACCTGCCAGAAGCACCAGGGACACTGTCACCGCGAGGAAGACCAAGCCCACGGAGTGGGGCTGCCCTGTGGGTTCGGTGCACAGAAGGTATCACTTCCCATCTACCCGGGGTTGAACTGCACCTCCCTGTCCTCCTCGCTCTTGTCAACCTCTGCCTCACCAACCGCCCTTCCTCTTTTCACTTCTCCCATCCCTCCTCAGAGATGGACCCTTCATCCAGCCCAATGCATCCTCCCATATTTTCAAGACTTCACTCTCAGCTCTTCCATTTCTTGGATTACCAAGTTTTTTAGTCACTTTTGGTCTAGCCACCCAAATTTTTCATCTGGCTATCCTGCTTTGCTGGAGGATCACTACCCTCTTTCCCAGCTGGACCCCAGTCTTTCTCACCCCAGTAGAGGACCATGTCCTGGCCTCCTAGACTGCTGTGTCTCACTCGGCACGACAGGCCACCTGCCTCACTGGCTTTCACATCCAAGGACGTCTGAAGATACCATGTCCCATCAGCTTGGGGCAGGAGATCACCTCGCTGTGTGCCCTGTTGCTCCTGCTCACCCCGCATCCACATCACCCACACAGGCTTTGGGTAGAAGCCAGAGACGTGGCACACCAGCAGCAGACGGCCAGGACCAGGACTGGGGCCACTGGAGAGCCAGGCCTCTGGCCTCACTGCAGAGACAGGACAGGAATTCACAGACTGAGAGGGTAGATATTCACATCACTTTAGATAGGTGTCTTTCTACCTCTAGACCCATCACCATCATCCCCTCTGCCTCTTGACTCCTTCTTACCATGAATTTGAAAGAATAGTACAAATTTATGAGTGCAGAGTAGACAATTCATGGAGGGAGGGAGTGGGACTTACTTTGTCGCTGGAGATATGCCTTCCCTGCATCAAGAAGACCCAACAGGAACCGGGGGCAGTAGTCGCTGAGGAGTTTCTGTACTATTTCACTGAAAATGTACTGATTGAATACTGTGCAGACCTGCTGAGCCCTACTTCCTCCCTTTGGAGATGGCCACCATGATGTGTTCTGGAAACTCATGAGATCTGATCCTTGGTAAGCAATCCGCAAGAAGCCTACTGATGCTTCTCCAAAGTGGGAATCACAGCCTAACACCAGCTGTACCTGGAAGGGATCTGGGGAAGAGAGACTGTGAGTTACAATACAGAGGGAGTGAAGGAGATGAAATGAGGTGAGTGCAAGCCAAGGATGCTGGATGTAGAAGGGTAAATTTGGGAATTGGAGGGAATGGAGCAAAGTCTGACCTGAGGGGAGGTTCAGACAAAGGGGAAGAGGTGGTTGCAGCAGGCAGAGGCAAAGGTGAATGATTGAGGAGGGAGCGAATGTTGGAAGAGAGACATGGAGGGTTTGGGCAGAGAATAGGGAATGACTCAGCAGGAGAGCTGGGGTAAAAACAATCTAGGGTGAAGGGAGCGCAATGGGGTACAAGGAACAAATAGACATCGCTGCTGGGATTGAATGGGGAGAAAGCACAGTTCAAAGTCAGTCACAAGTGAGGGAGCAAGGGTGCCTTGTTGGAGGCCAGAGAAAGGGGTGGTCATGGGAGACACTAGTGGGAGACAGGAGAGCAGAGCCTGTGGTCAATGAGAGGAGGGGGAAGCTAAAGAAAATGTGAAGCTTTTCAAGAATCACAGTCTGGTTTCTACCCCCTGCCCAGATGGGTGTGATTCAATTTTCAGATAGAGAGAGGTGAGGTCCAGAAGACAGTGCAGCTCATTTCCTAGAGAAAGAAGGAACTCAAGGAGATACACACATACCTGACACCTCCATCCTACCCCTGAAATGAATTGAACTCACATTCAAGCTGCCATTCACTGACATGGTTATGATATATTGAAGGATCACTAATGGAGTATGTGTAGAATAACTCTTCTACTTCCAACAGCTCCTTGTTGCTGAAGTTGCCTTTAGACCAAGGCTGCAGATAAATGAAAGCCCCAGTCTTATTGTCCCAGCCATGAGTCTGCAGCTCATCCAACCAAGCTGAGCCTTGGTTTTGTGTCCAGGAAGAGTTGTAAAAAGATGTGGTCAGGAGGATTCGGAAGGAGACTGGCTCCTGGAAGGCTGTGGAAAAAGGACAGATAAACATTGAATGTGGAGAGCATTGGGAAGGAGAGAGATTGGAGAAGAAGGTGAGAGGGTGGGGAACCAAAATCTGGAGGCCAGAGAAGCCATAGTTGTCTCAGGAGACAGTTGCTGCTCCAGATCACCGAGCTTCATATCCAACCTTCAGAAGAGCACAGGGCCCTGGGGTCAGGGATGCTCAGGAAGGAACCAGGCTGACACTGTCCCTCCACAGTTATGCACTGGGGAACTCAGACCATGAGTGCACACACACGGAGACACAAATACACACATACAGACACACACAGAGATGTACACATATACACACACATATGCACATGTACAAACAGACACGCAGACACACACCCACACACATACACACACGCACGTGCACAGAGATGCACAAGGCATCTATACACACGTACATATTACACATATTCAAATGCACACAAGCACATGTACACACATCACAAATGCACAGACTTACACAAACACACACAGACTGGCAGAAACACACAGACACATAAAGAGATGTACACACACACACACAACACACTGTGCACCCACTGGGCAGGGCCAGAGTTCTCACCATCTTCACTGTCACCGCCTGGCAGGAGAACCACCAGCAACACAAGTTGCAGGAACAGCATTGTATTTGCAGATGTTCTTTCTGTCTCTTACAAAGTTGGTCTTTGACCTATTTTCTAACAAACCTACCCCACACACAGCCCCTCTCTTCTGACTTCCTTCTCCACACACCAGCCTTCCCTGAGTCTCTGCGACAATGCAAATGTTTCCTCCCTGAACCCTGGACACTTACTCAGACTCTCACTTCCCCTCTTGGTCCGATTCTCCTCTCTGACTTACAGTTTCTTCCTGTCACCAGCTTCCATCCCGCTCCACATCCCCTAGTTTAGATGCTACATAACGAGTCCTGTGTAGCATGGAAACTGACCCTACCTCTCCTACGTTTTCTTCTCATCCAGACAGTAACCCATGAAAACACAAGGATCCCCAGCACCCAGCCCTGGAACCTGCTTTCACTCTATCCCTCCTGCCCTTGTGACACTCCCCATGTATTTCCTTCCCCATCTCACTCACACCCCAGCTCCTTCACATATCTGACTTCTCACTGTTTATGTTAAAAAACAAAATCAACAAGGTAAATTTGAAGATCTAATTGGTTTTATTAAGTGATTCAAGAATCAGACAGCATCCCATCTGGCAGGTAGAGGGGAGCTCTAAAGACGGTTGCAAATGGGAAGATTTCGTAGCAAGGAAGTTGGCAAAGAAGAGAAAGGAGTGTTTCAGGGAAGGTCACCTTCCCTTAATTAGGAGAGCAGGGGTCTTACCATGCAGATGATCTCCCCTCCTTGGGGGTGGAGAGGGTCCATGTGACAGAGTACCTCACTGGTGCTGACCAGAGAATTTCTAACTGACTGGTGAACATTTCAGGGAGAGGTTAGGGATTAAGTAAAGTTTAGGGACTTGGTCTGGCCCAAGGTGCCATTTTGGGCCCAACGTTTTCTTTTTAACAGTTGCTCTATTTGCTTGTCCAGATTCCCCCACGATTGCCTGTGTAAAAGTATCAGCAACCACCAGTTCACCATTACTCTTAGGGGAAAACAAGTAGCCATCACAGAAACCACAGGACACTGAAACATCTGAAGAATACCCCCTCCATCTGACTTGCATTAACGTAGATTCACTCACCAAACAGTCACTTAGCACCTGCCTGGATCCAAGCACCATGCTACACTCATGAAAATACAGTATTCACAGTGCAATCACTTCATTAAAGGAGGTTTTAGAAAAGAAAAACACATAAACCAAAAACTATAAATTTCGGTGTTCTGAATTTATTTTAAGATTCAGGATAGTTAGGGCGCCTGGGTGGCTCAGTTGGTTAGGCGACTGCCTTCGGCTCAGGTCATGATCCTGGAGTCCCGGGATCGAGTCCCGCATCGGGCTCCCTGCTCGGCGGGGAGTCTGCTTCTCCCTCTGACCCTCCTCCCTCTCATGCTCTCTGTCTCTCATTCTCTCTGTCTCAAATAAATAAATAAAATCTTTAAAAAAAAAAAAAAAAAAAAAAGATTCAGGATAGTTAACATACAATGTTATATTACTTTCAGGTGTAAAGTATAGGGATTCAGCAATTCCATATACCACTCAGTGTTCATCAGTACGAGTGTAATCCTAATCCCCTTCACCCATTTCCCCCCATCCACCCCAATTCCCCTCTGGGAACCAGCAGTGTGTTCTCTATAGATAAGAGTCTGTTTTTTTCCTTTGTCATTTTTTTCTTTTACTTTTGTTAGTTTCTTAAATTCCACATATGAAGAAATCATATGGTATTTGTCTTTCTCTGACTGATTATTTCACTTACCATCATACTCTCTAGCTCTGTACATGTTGTTGCAAATAGCAAGATTTCTGTTGTTTTTATGGCTGAGTAATATCCCATTGAATGTACCATGCTTTGTTTTCTGTATTCCTCTATGTATGGACACTTGGCCTGCTTCCATACATGAACTATTGTAAATAATGCTGCAGTAAACACTGGGGTGAATGTTTCTTTTTTTTCACTGTTTTCACATTCTTTGGGTAAATATCCAGTAGTACAACTACTGGATCACGTGGTATTTCTGTTTTTAATTTTTTGAGGAACCTCCATACTGTTTTCCACCATGGCTGCACCAGTTTGCATTCCCACCAAGTGTACAAGAGTTCCCTTTACTCCACTTCCTCTACAACACTTGTTTCTTGTGTGTTTTTGAATTTAGCCAATGGGACAGGTGTGAGGTGATATCACATTGTGGTTTTGATTTGCATTTCCCTGATGATGAGAGATGTTGAGCATTTTTTCTTGTGTCTGTTGGCCATCTAACTGTCTTCTTTAGGGAAATACCTACTCATGTCTTCTACCCATTTTTAATTGGATTATTTGCTCTTTTGGTGTTGAGTTGCCCAAGCTGTTTATATATTTTGGATACTAACCTTTATCAGATATGTTATTAGGAAATACCTACTCACATTCAGCGATTGTCCTTTAGTTTTGTTGATTGTTTCCTTTGCTGTACAGAAGCATTTTATTTAATGTACTCCCAACAGTTTATTTTTGTTTTTGTTTCCCTTGTCTCTGGAGACATATCTGGAAAAATGTTGCTGTGGCTGATGTCAGACTTTACTGCCTGTGCTCTCTCTCTCTCTTTTTTTTCCCACAGCATAACCTTTATTTTTTATTTTTATTTATTATTATTTTTTTATTATGTTCAGTTAGCCAGCATATAGTACATCATTAGTTTTTGATGTAGTGTTCAACAATTCCTTAGTTGCATATAACATCCAGTGCTCATCTCAACACATGACCTCCTAAATACCCACCATCTGGTTACCCATCCCCCCAAGCCCCTCCCTCTGTAACCCTCACCCTCAGTTTGTTTCCAGGAGTCCAGAGTCTCTCATGGTTTGTTTCCCTCTCTGATTTTTTTCCTGTTCAGTTTTCCCTCCCTTCCCCTGTGGTCCTCCATGCTATTCCTTATGTTCCACATGTGAGTGAAACCATATGATAATTGTCTTTCTCTGCTTGCCTTATTTCACTTAGCGTAATCCCCTCCAGTTCCATCCATGTCAACACAAATGGTGGGTATTCATCCTTTCTGATGGCTGAGTAATATTCCATTGTATATATGTATCACATCTTTATCCACTCATCTGTTGAAGGGCATCTCAGCTCCCTTCACAGTTTGGCTATTGTGGACATTGCTGCTATGAACATTGGTGTCTATGTGCCCCTTCCTTTCACTATATCTGCATCTTTGGGATAAATACCTAGTAGGGCAATTGCTGGGTTGTAGGGTAGCTCTATTTTTAACTTTTTAAGGAACCTCTATACTGTTTTCCAGAGTGGCTGTACCAACTTGCATTCCCACCAACAGTGTAAGAGGGTTCCCCTTTCTCCACATCCTTGCCAACACTTGTTTCCTGTCTTATTCATTTTTGCCATTCTAACTGGTGTAAGGTGGTATCTCATTGTGGTTTTGATTTGTATTTCCTTGATGGCTAGTATAATTTGAAATCTGGAACATTTTTTCATGTGTCTATTAGCCATTTGTATGTCTTCTTTGGAGAAGTGTCTGTTCATGTCTTCTGCCCATATATTGACTGGATTATTTGTTTTTGGGTGTTGAGCTTGATAAGGTCTTTATAGATCTTGGATACCAGCCCTTTATCTGAAATGTAAAAATGTCTATGCTCCCCAGAGCAATTTACACTTTAAATGCAATCCTTATCAAAATACCATTGACATTTTCACAGCGCAGAAACAAACAATCCTAAAATTTGTATGGAACCAGAAAAGACCCTGAATTGCTAGGGGAATGTTGGAAAACAAAACCAAAGCTGGGGGCATCACAATGCCTGACTTCAAGGTATACTGCAAAGCTGTAGTCATCAAGAGAGTATAGTATTGGCACAAAAACAGACACATAGATCAATGGAACAGAATAGATATCCCAGAAATGGAACTTTAACTCTATAGTCAACTAATCTTCGACAACGCAGGAAAAAATATCCAATGGAAAAAAGACAGTCTCTTCAATAAATCTTGCTGGGAAAACTAGACAACCACATGCAGAAGAATTAAACTAGACCATTCTCGGGGGGCGGAGCAAGATGGCGGAGGTGCAGGAGACCTAGATTTCGTCTGGTCTCAGGAATTCAGCTGGATAGGGATCAAACCATTCTGAACACCTACAAACTCAACAGGAGATCGAAAAAAAGTTTACTCCACTTCCT